CTAGCTCAAAGAGAAGTGAAGTCTTTCCAAGAAAGTTCAGTGGAAAGACACAAATCATCTGAATTCAGCTGCGAACCTGAGAAACTGGTACACAAAATTAAATCCTCATTTCAGGCAGCAAGCACTCAGGTAATTAAAATATACACAATTTAAAAACTAGTAAGTATTCATGTTCCACCACTTCTACAGCCTTAAAAGAAAGCAAGGACTTCAGTTTGTTGCTGGAATATCATGACAGGGTCTGAATGACAAAGATGTAAGAAGCTGCAAAAAAACAGACCCACAGGTTACCTTCTTTTAGTTAAAAAGATTAATTCTTAATTACACTATTTATGAGTAAAACACACCAAGGTTACATTTTCAAGGTTACTACATTATCAGATGAGATAACTTTCTTTATAAACATACCACTATATGCTACCCAATTCATCAAAATTTTTGGAGAAAACAGCTATTTTGAATTAAATGCCTAACACTGAGAATTTAGTGAACTAAAATACGAAACAAAGTTTATTTACATTAAATTAATAACATAAGGAATTCATTTACTACTTAAATGCTTAAAGAATGGAGAATTGGCTGCTGACAAGCTAACACTTTTTGATGATGGAATTAATCTTACTTTATATTGTCTGTTACAGCCCATACATGTAATATGAGCATTTAATTTTCTTAATATGAAGCTAAATTTGCCCAAATTTAAATGCAGATACACATATAGCATCAGTTACCCTTGTGGTTGTCAAAAACTATCAGCCTCTTTGAAATTATGAACAGTAAAAAACCAGCACATTTTTTACATCAATAAACACATCAGCTTTATAGCACCTTGCAGGCATAACAACTACATTAATCTCCCTCAAAATGAAGCATTTCACAGCTAAACATTTTCCACCTTTTTAAAAAAAAAAAAAAATCTGGTGCAATATAAGAAGCATCAACTTAACATAGTTCTTTGGGTCAATGAAATAACTGAATACAAATTTTAGTTAAGTGTGTTAGAACTAGAACAGTGATCCAAAATTCAAAGGAACATAACAAATAACTTTCTGCATAGTATCTGTAAACTAATACGAAATATCAGTCAACATACTTTCCCTTTTAGCACTGAATTAGTAGAGAAATGTTAATGGAGTCAAAGTTATACATAAAAATGTACTGCTCAAAGGAGATTAACATGCCAGGCTTCATTCAAGAACTGTCCTTTTGAGCTACATTGAAACTAGAGTAAAAATTTTAATAAAAGCAGAAATCATTCAAGTAATCATAAAACATACCTACCAATTTCTTTTTATTAGAAGCATATTAAGCATACATAAAAAATACAGGATGCAACTAGACAAAATAAGCTCAAAAACCTCAAAAAACAAATGCTAATGAAAACAAAAAGATAACAATTGGGTATCAAATATGCCCCACACAAATTTCTAAAGTGTCTCCAACCAAACTCTTCTTTGACAGCCTATGGCCAGTCTTTGGTAAAATATTAGTATATCCTACAGCATAAAAAAATATAACTGCTTTCTACATGCCAGCATAACAGTGCTTAATGCCTGCAGAAAAGCTTGAGATCTTTGAGGTTTTGCAGAATACTAAGTGTTACTCAAGATTCTTTACCCTGATCTTCAGTTTTTAATGCCTTCTAGCAGTAAAGCACCACAGAACATGATTTAACACCTATTGCCCAGAGATGTGTCTCTGTCTCTCTCCCACCATTTCCTGGAAAAGTGGACTTGGTTCTATTATAGTTTCATGTTTAAAATACATCACACAATACTAACAACTCAGTCTGTGCTATGATTTGATCTGATTTCCCTCCCTCCTTGGGTTTACTCATCCATTTTGTTAAACTGAACCACAGGTAAAACAAAGTTTCTTTCCCAAACTGCACAAGGCAAACAGACGTTGGCACTTGAGGAAGTTCCAAGTGACTGAACACAAACTGACCGTAAGTTAATAATGACAACAGTTTACAATTAAATGCAAATAATGAAGATAGCATATGCATGGCATGTGATTTCCTTAAAATTAAATGTTTACATATAAACAATCTGAAATTATTATTGAGGCAAATATAGTAAATCTCTTGAGATGAGGGGAAATGGTGGTTCTAGTATGGATACCAATAATTAAGTTACTGGTTTTTGGTAAAGCAATGAAAACTTGAGGTAAAATGTCTTCCTAAGTACAAAAAGAGAGGTGGTATAGAATAAGAACTCCTGACAGCTGGATGGAAAAAAACCCAAAAAGCACAACAACTTTTAAATTACTCAGAAACAAACAAAACAATAAATTATGTGCAGTTACACTCAAATAACTCAAAATGCATTCAATGTAACTTGATCCTCTGAAGTGACTTCAGCTAAAAGTATCAATTTAACTTATCTCTAGGAAACCTCCCAAGTAACATGATGGAGATGAATCTTCATAATTATGCAGTCTCCTACAGTGTTTAGTCAGCAAATGAATTATTTCATATAGGAAAAATGTTTCCATGATACATTTTACTTGCCTATTTAAAGCTATCTGATGGTCTTGCTAGAACTATCTAGTTCTCTTACCTCTTCCTTTGGAAGGGCTACTAGATATTTGGGTGTTTTATACCTAACGTTCATTACCTTTTGTTTAATCATTCTCTACATGGTTTAAAAGAAACAATGCTTTACATACTAAGTATCTGAGAATATATACACACACACTTTCTGCCTAATACACAGATTTTCCAATCTAAGTTTTATTTTCCAACTTTTCTCAACAGTATGTGGCCAAATTGCCCTCAGACACATGGTCCGAATCTTGTGACTGTCCTATGCTAGGGCAAGAGCTGGACTCCATGATCTTTGTGGGTCACTTCCAACCCACAAGATTCTGTGATTCTATTAAAATCATAAATGTTTTTAAAATTTAATTGCATAATTAAAGACAAATGCAAGGAATTTAAAAACAAGTATACAACTGGTTCCAGTTGAACTTAAATCTTTTCCAGCACCACATATCAGAGCATTATTCAAAATATATCATTTGCAAGGAAGATCATAAATCAGATTTAAAATACTATAGATATTTCTCTGGGTTTAAACACAGATGCATTCAGGAAATCCTTCCATAACAAACACATCAAGTTCCATAGCTGACTAAGTCCTTTAAACTGTCCTCATTTTGATGCTGTATTTTATAATCTTCCACATGTACATGCATGAAGACATCAGACTGGCTAATCATACCTCAAGTTAAAGATTTCACTAAAATCTTTAAAGAACGACATAATACTGCAATTTATTGCTCTCAGCTTTTTCATATCTTGTTATTTCAAGCTCTTAAAGTGGCAGATCTTGAAGAGCTGTGACTGTGTAAACTGTTCCACTTTTCCTTTTTAAAAGTCTTCTAAATCTGCATGAATGAAAGTTCAGATGCAATTCAAAATTTAAGTCATATAACTCTTCAGATTTTGAAGCAATTTGAGATGATGAGATGTGGTTTATTTTAGAGGTTCCAACAATAAGCTGGAGAGTCTCTAAATTTTAATACTGTTGCTGATTAGACTCATTTAGCAGCTGAGCCCTGTTAACCTACAAGGACAGAGTAGACTTCAGTTGCATGCTGACAGCCCAGAAAAATATCTCTATATAATTTGGAAAAGTCAGAACATCTTACAACAAGACACAGCTACAAAAATATGTTTATGCATAGGCACTTGTTCATTTAATTCTAAAAAACCAAACAAAAAGCGTCACATAAGCCTCAAATTCACAGTTTTAAAATGAAATAGTTTCTGGGAGCTGTCACTGAACTCCCCCTTTTTTTTTTACAGCAGGAAGACTACGGCCAAGGTTTCAAGCTGAGCATAAAATTATGCACAAAGACAAGGTTTTGTTGCAAATATTTACTCAAAAGTAATAATTTACAGCAGTCCTTTAACAGCTGTTCAAAACATTTAACATTCATTAGAAACAAAACTTGAAGTCAAAAACACATTCTGAATGTTTCAAATGGAGCAATGAAGTTGTAAGAGCAAGCTATCATTAATCATATGCATTCCTACATCTAGCTGCTAACTAGAAAAACAAAAAAACAACAAAAAAAACCTAAACCAAAACCAGCAGCCATCTTTCTGTATACAATTTAGACTACAAAAAGTCCTGAAATTGAACTGTACAATTCTATTTTATATGCCCTTGTGTCCTTTTTGTAACAGTTTGCCAGTAGCAGCTGGAACACAGCAGAATGCATGCCAGTAGGTGTTTCCAGTTTAGTGTTTTTCTTCTTTTTGCATAAACCAGTTTTTACATTAAACCATACTTTGGTGTGACTTACAGACCATTCCTATGGGTCTACAGCTAAGAATAATTAAAACAATGGTAAAAGCCTAACAGCTACAGTACTTTCAGCAGTATGTTCTACTTTATACAGTTATGTTCAGTATTTCTGCACAGCCTGCACACTGAAAATCCCACAAATATATATTTTTATTGTAATAAATCCACTTTCACTGAAAGTTTATTAAGGTAAGCTTACAGCCTGGCAGGATTACACCTGTACAGAGGTGCATAGATTCATATAATTCTGTTTACATGCTTTTACAGACAGGAATGTGACACCAAGTCCAAAGGTTTATGGTTACTCAAAGTATCAGCAGACCAATAACCATCATTACAAGTGTGCTCCATTTCAGCATCAGAAGTGAATTCATCCTAAATTCTACTGTTTAATGATATTCACACTGAAGGATTTAAAAAAATATTTTCTTGGCAAACAAATCACCATATCCCAGGCTAGTTAACTATAAAAATTAGAATTTATTCCTCCTTTCAAGTATCAATCTAATAAGACATAACACATCTAAGAGACAGGGAGATACATTTGAACATGCTGCCTTTTGTAAATTTAGTAAATTCAGTTGTACATAGACATATATGCTATCATCGTATGCAGAACTTTCCTCTAGTGTCTCTTTCTCTCCTCCCTCTCCCCGCCTCTTTTTCATTTTTAACAAATAGCATCAATGAGCACACTCATCAGGAATGGTCCATGGTGTTCTCACCATTGTTTATAACAAACAAAAAAATTAACATAATTTCAGCTTGCTTCATTTTCATCTGTCTTGTCTACTGTTGTTTCCATTCTGATGGGACTGCTTTCTTTAGAAGTCTCATCTGTTTGTTCAGAGAGTTGTCCAGCTTTCTTTGACGAAGGTGCAACATTACCTTTTTGAAGAATTTCAGTGGCTTCATGCTCTAGTACCTCTGATGGAGTCAAAGGCTCCAAATGAATACTGCCTTGTTCACTAATGTCTGAACTAACGGATTCAGGTTCATCTCTTTTTCTCAAGAACTGCTCAAAACTAACATCTTCACCCAATGTTAGCTTTAAGTCCCTTGCGCTCATTGCTGAAAGTGTAGTTGCATCCAAGCTATGTACTTTAGTCTGGTCATTCAAGATAGTATTATCTGAACTTTGGCAAGTTTTCAACTCACTTTCATCATGAATAGATTTTTGTTTCTCATCTACTAATTGTTTGTTATTATCTGAATCACAACATGCTCCTTTCTCAGGCAAAGAATTCTTTGAGCTGTTGTCAGGGAGTTCCAAACTAGGAACACCTTCTGTATTTGACAATGATGAGTTTTCTTCATTCTTTTCAACTTTTTTAGTTTGATTTCTACTGCATTCTTTAGTTTTGTCTGAAGAGTCATGCTCTTGTTTGCTGGAAAAAAAAAACAAAACAAAAAACAAAACCCAAGTTATTTTTTTATAGCAAGTTAAATAAAGCAACACATGGCTGTACTCTGCAAAGTGACACTCAAAGTGGTTTCTGAGATTTCCTATCTGGTATTTCTTACAAATGAATTTAATTAACAACTGCATTTTTTCTTACCTATTTGCAAACTCAGCTTTGTATTTAGCAATCAATTAGTACTCTTTAGTTCTTGTATTTCACCTCCAGAAAGGAAGGTTAAGTTGTCCCCTTAATGTGATACACGGAATTTTCCAAAATACAGTGCTAACTTCCTTTACCAGCACAGTCTCTTCAACAGAAAACTACTTGGAAATTTTTGTTGATCATGTGCAAAAAAAAAAAAAGAAGTCTGTTCATACCTTCACACCATCCAATTGACTCTGCAAAACTAATGCAAGTGAGGAAAAAAGCTAACAGCTGGAAATTAAATTAAAAATCTTGTGAAGCAACTACAAATTTGGATTAACTGAAAAAAGTGAATCTGTGAAGTATCATTTTCAGATCAAAACTGTATGTTTATAAAAATGAAATACAGATCAGTACTGAATTATGCAAGTAAAAGTGAGAATCTTTCTGTATAATAAAATCTAAAACACAGAGTATGAACTTTGTTTACAAACTGATTGCTTAAACCTTGTATTATTTCAATAAAGCAACACGCATGTAGTGCTTTAGGGTGACCAGGAAAAGCAAAAATAATCAGAATGCTCCAAAGAAAGAGTGAATTGTACACTCCAAATGCCATCTCTACCCACAAATGTACAAAATAGTCTGGTCATATTGTCATATGCAATTTGCCCATATATTCATATTCCAACCATTAAAATCCTAAATACTAGTTTATAATATTTATCTTCATTTGTTATAGGAATAGCCTCTCCCATCCTCTCAATGATGGAGCTCAACTTTTGCTGTAAAGATTTACACTTGGTAAAAGTTTAATACAATTGCTAACCCGTTCAAAATTTTTCAGAATGATAAGTAGCTTAAATTACCTAAAATTATGATGGTGACAGACAAAAAGCAGGAGGAGGAGATAAATGAACAACAGTTGGTCTGATTTCAGATATAAATTCTATATAGGAAGTGAAATTAGGAGCAAAAAAGTCCCCCAATTTAATTTTTAAAATTTAAAACTTAAATTGAAAATAGTCTCTGAACAGTGACGTGCAGACAAAAGATGTGACAGAGATAATATCACCAAATACCTCATTAATCAAAATGCATTTGTATTTTATTTCTTCAAATAGTTTTAAAAGTGGTTTGAAATATTTTTTGGCTAAAACCACTTTTAACATTACCTAAGCAACAGACAGTTCCAGGACTCTTAAAGGGAATAATCAATTTTCTGCTACTATGTTTCTATGATGTATTATCAAACTGAAACTCCAGACATGTTCTGCTGATCCAGGAATTTAAAACAATTCACATGATTTGCCTATAAGCTAAACAATACTGAGTTCTACAGAAAATGGTTATTCTGGAAGAGGTGCTACATATTACAACCATTCAGAAATCTGTTTTAAAGTTTTACTTTCACTTAAATAAACTAATCCAAGAATATCCCATTTCCTACTTGGAGTTTAAGTCCGAGGAATATTTAGAGCAGGGATAAGAGACTGCTGAGATATCCTTGAGTGGTGAAATCTTACCGGTCACTGAGGTAGTCATAAAAATCTTTTCATCCTATTACACCAATTTTTCATTCATAATAAGGAATTAACTGAAGAGAGAGGCCAGCCTCTTTACCAAATTACAACCTATATTTGTTACTTAAAAGGGGAAAGAGGAAACATTCCTGACTAAGATCCAGCACAAAACCCAACACTCCGAATCACCCATCAGCTGTGGCTGACCCAACTGGTCTTGCCATAACTGTACCTAATTACCCCATCTATTCCAGAGAAACACTTAAGCTACCCAGAGCCATATAAATGCCAGGAGATATTTCAAATTGTTTTAATACAAAAATCCAGTCAACTCCTTACGAAACAGTGTAGATACATCACCTTTAGCTAACTTTAGCTAACTACTTTTCAACAAGCAGCTTGAGAGTGAGATGTAGTTGCAGAGTTAACAAGCACAGCATTATGCTTTATGGGGGAAATTGTGACATAAATATGCAAAAAAAAAAGGGGGGGGGGGGAAATAAAGGTATGACTAATGGCTCATTAGCACACAGAGAGCAGTGTTTCCACACTGAAAATACCACACGGATTACATATATGTACACACACACACAAGATTCATGCCGAGAAACCCTTCAAAGGACAAATATGCATATAAAAGCAATCCATCACAATCTCCCTCATTTTCTAGTAACCAAAATCCCAGCTTCATCTAAAACCAGCCTCTCATTCTCACTCATATTTGGCAAAGCACAGGGAGGGAGGAAGAGGAAGTGGGAAGGAAGAAAAAAAATATACATTTCTGATGAAGAAAAAAGCTGTCTCTCATCAGCATACATTCCCATTAGTCATTTATACCAATAAAAGTATAAAAATAAAATTGAACAAGTTTTTGCACAACAATTACCACCACAAAAACAACTACTCACAGAGAACAGTGATCATTTAAATCGCTAAGCACAACAGTAAGTCAGTAAGTTCATTTAGATAGAACAGTTCTCCAATGAAATAATTTACCTCTGCTGAGAACTGCAGATGAAGAAAAACCTAGCAATTGTGATAGACTAAAATCCCACCATAAAAAGAAAAATTATATAGTTAGTAAGTCAGTAGTGGAAAAAGAATAGCCTTCCACCCAATATTAGGAATGAAATGTACTCTTACTACTCTATGTGCAAATAACGTGGTTATAGCATTAGAAAACTAAAAATTAAGACATTAAAAAGACTGAAAAAATGCAAGAACGATAATAACTGTATTATATAGAAAGGAGGATGTTGGTGAACAGTTAGAATGTAAAATCTCACTTTTGTTTAATGAAAACAATGAATCAATTTTCTAAAGCATGATAGAAATCATGGCCAGACTATCAAATATAGGTTATACTAAATGCATTAGCTGCCATATTGTCTATATGAAATCAGATTTTAGAATAAGACTACTACAAGGGATTAGCATATTATATAATTTTGAATCTAAGATATGAGTCTACCAGGTGCAAATATACACCCACCCCAAGCTACCAAAGCCTAGAAATTAAAGGGAATTTTTTTTTTCTTTTTCTCATTGTACAGAAAATGTAGGATTTGGGTGCCAGGCGAGGCTGAGAAGCTAGGCTCTGAATATTTGTTGTTTTAAAACCCTACTAGCTCAAGGGTTTTTTTCTGCTCTTTGCTATACATATTCATTTAACTTTAGAGTATTTTATTATTTTGCATTGATATTTTATATCAAGATTTGAAAAATCATTCAGGAAAAAATTCTACAGCAAGAAAAAAAATCATACAAGTTCAGAACAGAACTATAAACAAGTGACACTTACACATGAGTACTTGCAAAGAATGTGCAAACACACCTTCAGGGTGTGCAAAAGTACTTCCCCGTAACAAAACCCCTATTACAGCTGCATTTAACAGTTTGGTGTGAAACAAGACTATGGTTTCAAGGCACATTCCTTGATTGTTCCCAGGTAGTGGGTTGGTTTACAGAGAAGTCCAGGGGTATGCAAACTAGATTTCTTTTTGAGGAAAACTAACTGGAAGCTCTGATCCACAAGTTAATAGTTTTTATACTATATTTTAAAATTGTTTCCCAATTGCCCTGGTAATATTAACAACTCATAGGCAGTATCGCTCCAGGAACAGAGGGAAGAAGTTGTTGTTAAAGTGGCAGTGAAAAACCTGGATGAGGTTCATGCAGACAAACCACATGAAGTTGCGGTGCCGGGAGAGCTGCTTGGGAGAGTCCAGCGCAGAGCCACCAAGATGATTAAGGGAGTGGAGCATCTCCCTTATGAGGAAAGGCTGAGGGAGCTGGGTCTCTTTAGCCTGGAGGAGACTGAGGGGAGACCTCATTAATGTTTATAAATACATTAAGGGTGAATGTCAGGAGGATGGAGCCAGGCTCTTCTCAGTGATGCCCAATGGTAGGACAAGGGGCAGTGGGTGTGAGCTGGAACACAAGAGGTTCTGCTTAAACTTGAGAAAAAACTACTTTACAGTGAGGGTGACAGAGCCCTGGAACAGGCTGCCCAGGGAGGTTGTGGAGTCTCCTTCTCTGGAGACATTCAAGACCCACCTGGACACCTTCCTGTGTGATCTCATTTAGGTTCCTGCTCCGGCAGGGGGATCGGACTGGATGATCTTTCGAGGTCCCTTCCAATCCCCAACATTCTGTGATTTTGTGATCGCACACACACATATAAAAATATATATATAAAATATGTTTCTTTTAGTATGTATAATTTATTTAATGTCTTCTGAATCTTGACTAACTTGCAGTTTAAGCATTACTAAGAATGTGTTTTGACACTTTGAACCTAAATTCTACATGTCTTGTAAGTACATTACAACCACCATTCAAAATTTTCTCTCATAGAAAATACACATTATGAAAATGCTAATTAAATACTTCTGCCCAATTACCTAGGAAATAACACAGTCAAATAACAATATGTCATTTTCAAGATGCAGCTGATCATTGTATTGACTTCGAAATCTGGTGTTTCTGTTTTTCTTTCAGATAAACTAGGCCTTGAAATTTTCTGCAGTAATTAATGATATTTCCTTTATTTTACATTCATGAGCAACTGATTATAATATAAAGTTGTATAAATAATTTAACATTGACATTCCTATGAATCTGCTATGGAGCACAGACTGAGCATGGATCTTCATAGAGATGTTTGCAAATAGTCTTCCAAGTGAGAAAAAAAAAAACCCAAACAACAAAACCAACAAAACTAAACCAAAACCAAACAAAAACCAGAAACAAAGCTAAACTTTAAAGCCACTCGTGTAGCCTTTTCCGTATACATAATTTCAATTATGTCTTATTGAA